TACTTCAAATGTGGATCCAATGGGTTGGTCCACCATAGGATCTTTCCAAAAACCCGTACAGCACTGGGTGCCAAACTCAGAGAAAGTTGTTGAAGGCTGTAAAGTATTGGCTGTAGAGAGAAAGTACCCTGGGCACCAGAAGCACAATGCATAGAGGCTTTCTATGGTGGACACTAGGACACCACCAAGTGGGTATATTGTTATGCTCCCATTCAACTGAAGGCAGAAATAATTTCATCACTCCTAGAGGTTTCTGTGTTGTCCCTCCTCTTGAGTCATTGAGTCATCATTATATTGGAATTAAGGCTCAAGTAGCTCCACTAACGTTCCACATAAGTGAGAACATACATTCCTTCAGGGATATCTCCCACTTCCACAGGGAAGAGGTGACCCTCTTTGTGTTTTCTCATCCATTTGCTATCGGGATATCTCCAAGACAGGGAGGACAGTTCTCCAGAAAAATATGAAATATCATAGTGTTAACTAGCTCTAATTCATCTACACTTTCTTTTCTTGGTCATGCTTCACTGAAGCATAATAGCATTCAACCATTATTAAATAATACTAGTAGTTGAATCCAAGGGCCCACTGACTTTTCTAACCACTACTCCAGGCATAGGCAAACTCGGCCCTCCAGATGTTTTGGGACTACAACTCCCATCATCCCTAGCTAACAGGACCAGTGGTCAGGGATGATGAAAATTATAGTCTCAAAACACCTGAAGGGCCAAGTTTGCCTATGCCTGCACTATTTTATCCACTCACCAGCCAGGGAATGGATATGACAATGTGAAGACTGAATTTGCGTTGGCCACCACCGTCCCGCTGTCTGCGCTGAAAAAAGCTTGCCACCAACTTATCTTGGCTTACTTTTGTTGCTGAGTTGCTGTTGCCAAACGGAAAGAAAATTAAATGTAGTGACATGGCCACCTACTGTTTTGCAGAGCGTGAGTACACAGACAGATGATCTCAGCAGAAAGACTGGAAGAGTAAGATTAAAGCAACCCATCTCTTGTCTGAGGCAGTGTGCTGAGTGGGCAAGAGTATTGTCTAAGGAAGCAGAAAATGTATACAAACCACAATCCTAATACAGTCATTCTCTCTCTTAGCTCCAACCTAGTCAATGTTGATGTGTTCCAGACACATAAAAACTGTTAGTAGGTAGGGGTGGGTTTAGAAAGTTTTGAATGGGAAACTTTGGAAGCAGTAGGATAAATGAAGCAACACAAGGTGAGAGACCAGATCTGGCCTGGCTCACCCTGCTGATTTTGCTCCTTCCACAGACACTAAGCACAACATTGTTTTCAGCTTCTTTGATACATGTGGCATTTTCACATTTATTTACAAATGGTGTTGGCATTAGCCAGCCTTTCTTGCCCTTGGGTCCCCAGATGTTGTTGGACTACAACTCCCATCATCCCTAGCTAGCAAGACAAGTGGTCAGGGGTTATGGAGTTGTAGCCCAATAACGTCTGGGGACCCAAGGTTGAGAAAGGCTGATTAGGCAGTATCCAGCTCTGCTCCTGACATCAGGCAGCCATCTTTACTGTACTCTTTTTGGTGGCTGCTACAAATATTTTTTGTTAGAGAAGCCTACCCAGACATGTAGAATGCTGATGTGTTTTTAGCTGCTTGTAGGTTTTAAATTTTGGAATGTTTTAATTGTTTTTAATTAACAATCCTATGTTTAGCTTTGGACAGCCCCAACCATCAGCTGCTGGAAGGACAAGGAAGAGGGGAAGTAGAGTCTGAATACACTCCTGCTTCCCTGAAACGTGACCGGTGCCAAGGATGATTGTGCCAACATTATTTTCTGACAGCATGCATGTATACTTAGATTCTGGATGCAGAGATCTAACATGCAGCACCCTTTTGCATGCAGGGAACATGATTTAGCAAGAGGATCTTTGTGCAGAAGGAAATCACATTCTAAAAAGAGAAAATTTCAAAATAAATGAACCTAACTTTGCTCTTCTCAGGAAGAAAAAAACTCTTAAAATGTCAAGCCAAAGTTAGATTCTGCTCACCACCGTTATTGAGATAAGGCTTGCTGGCAGAAATCATTATTCCTCCTTTAGTGGAATATCAGCGTTCTATTTCACAATAATTTATGTAGGTTTTGAACTGATTAATACATATTATAAAATATATTACAAGCATGTATGAGATATATTTATAGTTGGCTGCAAGCACAATGTGAAAAAATTAACAAGCAGTCTTCAGATTACACTGAATTATATTTGCATCTGTAATGTAAAATCAGTGCTTCAAAGCATTAATGATTAATAGTTCTGAACTAGTGACAAATGATGTATCTATATAAAGTGGGAAAAGTAAGTGTGTGTGTGTGTGTGTGTGTGTGTGTGTGTGTGTATCTCTATATCTCCTGTGCTGATTAGAGTATGCATACTTGGCTGCATTTGTAAATTCATGCTTGCAGATAGAGATGCATTGATTGGCACTGAATCCAGAACTGAAGACTTGGGACTCTGTTTCTTCTCTCTTGAGAGAGCAGCAGCTTAGAGATAACTCACTAATTTAAGGTTGCAAGCCCCTGAAAGCAAAGATTTGGCTCAAATATGCCAATTCCCATTTTTTTAAAAAAAAATGTATCAATGTCTAGAATATAGCCCAGTCCCATTCTAGTTCCCATAAACCACTTCCTTACTTCTTTCCTCCTGGCTGCCAATGAGTCTTGTTGCTGGTGTCCTATGTATTTACTAAGGAGGCAGTGCATGAGGCCAATTAGGGGCAGTGTGACCAAGGAGGTGACAATGCTGCTGATCATGGAGGGATAAGAATAGTGGTATAAGGATTGTGAATGGCAGGAGTGGAGGTGGGATTTGACCCAGCCTTGGGTTTTAGATGCAATGGAGAAACTATGATTTGACAAACCAGGAAGTTTCCTCTAAAGGAAACTTGATAAGAGAAGGGATAAGGGGTAGGGGATGTGCAACTGGTCATACATTTCCAAGTCCAAAAAACCATGGATTGTGGGAATGGGAATACGATGCCTAAACTGGGTGATAGAGATCTCTCAAATACTGAAAATTGTTTCGTAAGAGTCATTCAAAATCTTCTGCTTAAAGAATTAAATTAAAGCCACTTCATAGAATGTATAATATAACTTTTATTCTTTTTTCTAAGCTCTTGGAAAGTTACATAACAACCGTGCTTTAGTTAGGACACCATTTATAGACATTTAAAATGCATCTTTATAAATATTTTACATTTGGTCCATAGAACATTGCAGTTTTCTAAATTATACTGTACTCTCTCTTTTTAAAACAGGCTCTATATATATTTTAGAATATGTATATATTACATATATATTTTTATATAGAGATAAATTTGCTTGGTGTTTAGAGAATAATTAATTATTGCAAAAAGCATATATGATCATATATTCTTTCTTTTTAAAGGGCAAATACTACAAAAAGATACAGCTATTCACAGCTTACACACAGTAGTTCTACGACACTATTTTTGTGCTATATATGATACGTTTGTACAGGATTCTGCTAAAGAGCAAATCTGTCAAACATCTGTCATAATTGTTTTACAATCAAACATTGAATACTGCATTTTTCTTAGAACAACATGGGACTTGGTTACATAAACAATAAAGAGAAAGTCTGAATTTTGTATCTTAAGTCTAATGAAATTCACAGTTATAATGTATATGAAGCAAGTGAAGTATGACATGTTTTCTTTTCTTTCCCCCCCTAAACCCTGAAAATCTACAAGACATTTGGATTTATTTGTGAGTTCATCTATAGATATTCAGCATGTATCATAGATATCTGAATATTTTACAGTTGATCTACTGTATGAAACGGTTTAGAACATACTAAACAATACTCTTTTTATGAGTTTTTTTATTTGTTAAGTTGAAATATATGTATATATATATTTTCTACAATAATGTGCTTGACATTCTGAGAATAATACCTTATTGCAAGAACATATGTTTGTCACCTTCAGACAAAAACAACAAAAAACCAACATTCACAGTTAACATGTTGTTCACATAGTAGTTCTACATAAAGTGTGTGCTATCTAACATTGTACGTTGCACAAGGTTTCGCTGAAAAGCATGTTTCATTGCACAGTTCTGTCACAGTCATTTAGAATCAAACATCACATACCACTTTTCTTACGATTCTCACTTTCTGTCTCATAGCTGCCAAACAAGAGTTGCCTTTATGGACTCTTGAGTCTTGCCATTTTCCACCCAGGAAGAAATTCATTAGCTTTAGGTGCCTGTGTGGAAAATGCAAGCGATAGCCTAGAATGGAGCTGTTTATGGCAAGACCGTTCCCTCACTTCTCCATCTTTCCCATGAAAAATACATACCTAAATAAAACCATAAAAATAAAATTCTTTCTTCAAAGTGCTTTATAATATGCTTGCTAGTCAAAAACCTCTATTGTTGATAAGACCTTCAACAGACTGACTAGAGCAGTGCTAATTTTAAAGCCCTAAATTATATTCTGCGGGGAGCATCTCGATGTAGAAGCTATTTGTTTGGTTCTCTATTTGTGGGAAAGTGCTATACCTGCCAATGACACAACTTAAAAGTGAAGCACAACCTGGATTAAATGAAAGATAACGTGTACAGCTTTAAATATGGCAGCCTTTGGGAGGGACTCTTCACAGTTTGAAGTATGTAGTCATATTATCACTTGTGCGGCTGGCTTTTTGTTTTTTGTTTAAGAAACCACCCCAGTACTTTGAAAGATGCCGACATGGAAAATATTCTAAAAGATATATTGCTATAAAATAATACATTAAATGTTGGCATCTCAATAGGTTGGGTATGGGAGTGGTGCAATTTAGTCTGTACTGTATATCCCAAAATAGCTTGTTAATGGCATTTGTATATGAATGATTCAGTATATTGTAGTATATCAGAAGATTTCCATGAAAATTAGAAAAACCAACTCCAGAATAAAGTTGGTCAACATTTTTAAGGGCAGTATTTTCACTGGTAAATTTTCTTGGTAAAAAATACTTTGCTGGTGAATACAAAACAGCTTTCTGTTTTAACTGTTCTCAGAAATAACAGTCTTGGGATTCAAACAGTATGAAATATATTAATAAAAATCAGCTGCACAAAACTTCAAATTGTTGTGTTAAAAGGTAGATTAAAAATGGCCTACATGTCTTTATAAATTCCCAAAGATATCCAGCTCTTACTGAAAGAGAATAAAAATGTTAACAGTCTATGGATTGCCAGGAAACACAAAACATTGTCAACAACTAAGCCCACAAAATGGTTTGATCATATCCACATTGCTTCCCTTATAGTGGTGATGGTCTTTTGTGCCACTAGAGGTAGGTAATTTTATTCTCAGACATAAATTTGTGGTCATATTCAACACACATTTCATTTGTGTATGGTTTTTCTTTTCTTTTTTTTTTTGCCCCCCTAAAGGAAGCTATGTATCATTTCAATGACCCAGACTATATATATGCTTCTTTGTTTGCAGAGTTGCTCTGCTGGGCTTGTTCAGGTCCGTTTTCAGGATGACTAATGTCTTCACTTGGCTGAATCATTACCTGGATTCTCTACAGTAGAGAGAGAGAGAGAGAGAGAGAGAGAGAAGAGAGAGAGAGAGAGGGAGAGAGAGAATCATTTCATTGTTCTTAATCTGAATGGCTTCCCTTACATTAAATTTATATTCCAGTTCTGTAGTTGTCATTCATGAAAGGTGCAATAGGAAGGAAGAAGGGAAGGAGGCCACAGTTCCTGAACGACTTTCCAATGTATGGTATCAATAATTTTTGGGACAATAACACCATTTTTAGATCAGTAAATAGTAAACTAGCAGTGAATCCTGCCTAATCAAAATGTTTGTCCTATTATCAGTCTATGCACTGTGTAACAACTGAGATAAAGCAGACAGCCTACTTTATTACTTCATTCTGGTCCATCACCCAAGCACTGCCCCCTTGGGCCAATGATTGGCCAATTTGAATTCCAGTGCATGGTGAGCTATCCCACCCTCCTTTGCGGCCAGCTGGGGAAATTCCCCAACAGGCCAGGCTATGATGGAGAGGCCCTTTTCTCCATGGAGCCGAGATCCTTCCACAATGGGCCACCACCACCACCCAGAGACTAAGTGGCCGTTCTCAGTTGATGCACTGTGTAACAGCTGAGATTCTCTACAAAGATTTGAGCTGAGATGTTGGTGAAGCCTGCTGGGCTGGGGTCTTCGCTGACATTAGTTCTAAGCAGCATAACCAGTGACCAGAGATTGTGGAAGTTGGGAGGAAACAGGACAAAGGGAAATGAAATTGGGGCAGAGGAAACTGAGAAGCCCACTTATACAGCTAGAACTCATCTTTACAGTCACAAAGTGGGAAAATCATTTAGCCATGTTTTTACTTGGAAAGGAGAAAAGAAGGTGAGAACCTGAGTAATCCTGTCACATTTTTTAATGGCAACTGGTGCAGAGAGGCCTTCCTATGCTGCAATATTCTGGAACCTTAGCTGCCTGTCTTATTTCATTTAAATGTTTTATAGTCCACCCTTCAGCTAGGAAGTTCTCTAGGGGCTCACTATCATATTGATATATAATAGATATAGAGATATATGCCATTGCTACTGATTTACATTTGGACAAATCGTAAGAAAAGACTGACCCAGGGATAATTTACTGTAGCAAAGAGGTATACTTTGATATTGTAAATAAGAACGCAACAGCAGATTGTGCTTGCTGAAACTGGCATCTTGCCAAGTGTAGGCACAGTTCTAAAGACATAATTTACCTGTTTCAAGGAGCCTTTTAATGTAAGGAACATGTATGCCATGTAGCCTGGAATCAGCACCATGGATGATAGAGCCATAAACCAGCCAACACCTTGGCCCCATGCCGGGAATACGTAATCGCCCAAAGTGAGAGGAGTCATTTGCACAGCACTGAAGATAAACACACCCTGGGGAAGTAAAAGCATTAAAAAAGTCAGCTATGGTTTGTTGTAGTTGCTGCTGCTGCTTTTGCAGGTAGTTCTTTGCTTGGATAGGAAAATTAAAGTGAAAAGTTATTTTCCTTTTTAAAATTCCAGACATCTTCCGTTTTACCTATGCAATTTTTGATGGTACTGTTAAGAGTTTGGGGTAAGGGTGGGGAAGTAGATTGTATACAAAGACCCCTCTAAGCCCTGGATCCAGCAAGTGTTAAAATATAATCCACTGAGGTGATAGCCTGGCCAATGAGCCATTAAGGAATACAAAGGAAAGGGGCAAATGGGTCGGACCCCTCACCCAGCTTGCGGCTAGTTTGAAAGACAAAAGGCCACAGTAGAGAGTTGAGTTATGTAAGCCAGAAGCTGGGAGAAAAAGAAGTGAGCTGGAGAGACAGTCAGAACATGTTTGATGTCTATTTGAGCCCAAGGCTGCGGCTATGGGAGAAACAAGACCCTTTTGGGGTGTTAATGCTGTGAACCCCTCCATTGCAGGCTCAGGTTGTATATCTGTGTAAATAAACCATATCTCATAAAGATACCACAGTCTCCGCTGTGCCTCATTTACAAAAGAACCCTGGAATCTCACAATGCTCTGAGATAGTGATGACGTGCACCTGGACAGAGCCACTATGGGTATTACTATGTAACACTATGGTTATTAGGTATTTTCAGACATTTAGTTAGTTCCCCCTCATTGGATATAAGATTTATAGGAATTATACTGAATTTGCCCCTCATAGACAAAGGAGTAATTTCTGCCTACTCAGGAGATTCTCTGGAATGCACAACTTTTGTACAAAACAATGCAATGCAATGCAAAGATTCAGTATCCATCCTGCCCACCAGGAGCCACAACATGTTGGCGACAGTTCAAAGGGTTGTGGAGGAAATTGGAGCAGGGGGTAGGGAGGAGACAGGCTTGCTTAAGCTCCTAGAGGTTTAGAAGAAGAAGAGTTTGGATTTGATATCCCGCCTTTCACTCCCTTTCAGGAGTTTCAAAGCGGCTAACATTCTCCTTTCCCTTCCTCCCCCACAACAAACACTCTGTGAGGTGAGTGGGGCTGAGAGACTTCAAAGAAGTGTGACTGGCCCAAGGTCACCCAGCAGCTGCATGTGGAGGAGCAGAGACGCGAACCAGCTTCCCCAGATTATGAGACTACCGCTCCTAACCACTACACCACACTGCCTCTCTCCAGAATCTTAAAGAATCTTAAAGGTGGGGTTCTTAGCAGTGGTGATTAAGGTGAGGGAGATGTCCAACACGAAGTTGAAAATCTCCTTTCTCTCCACTGTGTATGGAGTTTTCAGGCGGAAGGAAAGAACAACCTTCCTTTCCCCTTTTTCTAAAAGACATTCCCCCATCTGCTGGATGCATAGCCCTTTAGTGTTATATAGCAACAGAGGAAGGCTTCAGAAGAATGATTGAAGATGGTGTCGTTTTTCCTTTCTTTCCTCCAAAGTCCTGCGAGCTAATTTGTATTTGTGTTTTTTATTATTCCTTGCTTAATTTTGTGGCAATGTGAGTGTTATGTGCTAATGCAATAGTTCCAAAATGCTGGTTCAGGACTAGATGTTTATGGAAGCCAGCGTAGAGCTCATTGGTATCCTAGTATTGTGAGATGGGGATGTGAGCATTTCTCATTAATTTATTCCTATAACACTATGACTCCTCATAGGCCCCCAACTTCTTGCGTCTGTTTCCAAGAGCCCTGCTAGATTTGGCTCGTAAACTCTAACTGCATGTTAAATCATCTGACCTGTCTTGTAATTGAATTGGCAAAAGCCCTAAACAGTGTGACATGCATTTTGATATACAAAAGGATATTTTGAACCATATATATTTATAAATTTTGAAATCATACAGTTTCATAGATTTTTAATTTTCTTATGTTGCTTCTCCTTTCAAACATTTTATTTTTCATGTACAGAATAAAACAAATATTTATACTGAGGTTTGAACCTGCTTTACGTGGTTTTCTTTTTGCTTCTCAGTATCATAAAATGATATGTGCATTCACCACTATGACCATTGCTCTAGCCCTTTGCTAGAAATAGCCCAAAGCTATTTTTGCTAGTGGAATCAGCTAAGAAAGACAAAAGTAGAAAGTTTTTGGAAAGAAGAAAATAGAAGATGGCAGCTTTTATATTAGATTATCATCACCTGTGCACTAAAAATAAACACTGGATTCTCTAAAATAATGTGTCTCGAGGCGAGTCAGCAGTTGTTATGGTCCTTCCATTAACTATTGGAAGATTAGAATTTAATTAAGTATACTTTAATTAAAATTATTTTAGTTACTATTTCTCCAGAAGGCATGGAAGTAGACCAAAGTATTTAGAGAACAGAAGAAAACACAGCTTGCATTGTAGTCTTTTAAAAAGTTTGTGAATATTTTGCTTGAATTGTAAGTTCTATAAATTATTGTACATTATTACCGTATTTTTCGCTCTATAACACGCACCTGACCATAGCACGCACATCGTTTTTAGAGGAGGAAAACAAGGAAAAAAATTCTGAATGAAACAGTGGATGTGATCTGATGGTGAATTTGGGGTAGCTCAATGCAAAGATCCTGAGGATCCATGCTTTTTAACCACATTTTTGCACCATTGCAGCCCCAGGCAACAGTGGGTGTGTGATTTTTGGGGGGCAGGCTGCTATGTGATCTGATGGTGAATTTGGGGTGGCCCAATGCAAAGATCCTGAGGATCCATGTGGATCCATGCTTTTTAACCACGTTTTTGCACCATTGCAGCCCCAGGCAACAGTGGGTGTGTGATTTTTGGGGGGCAGGCTGCTATGTGATCTGATGGTGAATTTGGGGTGGCCCAATGCAAAGATCCTGAGGATCCATGTGGATCCATGCTTTGTAACTACATTTTAAGTGGGGAGTGAAGGAAAAACACAGAAGGGACAAGAGAGCAGTGTGCAGAGAAGCAGCTGGCTAAGAAAGCAGGAGAGGGATTTTACGGGAGGGAAGAAAGAAAGGCAAAAGTTTCCACAAACCGAAGCCAGCTTTCTCTCTCCTCCTGCATGTTTTCTGGCTGCCTGCGAGGAGCACGGAGAGGAATTAGAAGGAAAGACCTCTGCTTTCCCCTCTGCTTGCCTGGAGGGGAGGGGATTTGCCTGCTCTTTGTTCCGTTTGAGCAAACACAGCAACGAAACAGAGGAGGGTGGGCAGTAAGACCCTGAGGCAGAATGCAGGAAAGCAACCACTTCCTCTTTTCAGGTTTCCCTCTCGGACACAACGCACGATTGATTTTTGCTGATTTTTGTTCCTGCGCTCCCCTAATCGGCTCCAGGGACCCCCCACATTCGCTCCATAACACGCACAGACATTTCCCCTTCCTTTTTAGGAGAAAAAATCTGCGTGTAATAGAGAGAAAAATACGGTATATCAAAATAATGCACAAATGTGTGTGTGCATGATCAAATGGCCAAGTGTAGTTGCAGCGTTTTAGAGCCTTACTGGACATCCTTATCACTGTGCATTCTTGATTATTTGTGCTCATTTCAACTTTAAAAAAAATGTAGACTTGCATTAATTGCATTTAACATCTTTAACATTTTTGTTTCTTACTGCCACAATGATTGGAGTAAAGAAAGACCAGCAGAGCTTCCACCAGATGCAGGGCCTATAGCCAACCATCTCCTGGATATTGTCGTAAAATCTGTTTACACCTAAACAAACAAACAAATAAACAAACAAATTGTTAGTTGGTTGAAACCAATAATGAATGGCTAGGAGAGAGAAAAGCTTTTAAATATATCAGAGAGTCTTGCCAGATAACCTACCAAAACCATTAACAATCCAGTGTTGGTGGTTCTACAGAACTGGTGGCTCCAAAAAGGCCTTGAAGCCAGGGACTAGCCTAGCTGCAGGGAAATAATCAGACCCGAGTGGGGGAGGTTTTAGTGCTGGAAAAATGGAGCCCACAGCCTACGGGGAAGGGAGGAAATGAACAACAATCCAAACAACAGCCAATACATCATTAGTTCTGGTTACAAGAAGAAGAAGAAGAAGAAGAAGAAGAAGAAGAAGAAGAAGAAGAAGAAGAGGAGGAGTTTGGATTTGATATTCCGCCTTTCACTCCCCTTCAGGAGTCTCAAAGCGGCTCACATTCTCCTTTCCCTTCCTCCCCCACAACAAACACTCTGTGAGGTGAGTGAGGCTGAGAGACTTCAAAGAAGTGTGACTGGCCCAAGGTCACCCAGCAGCTGCATGTGGAGGAGCGGGGAAGCGAACCCGGTTCACCAGATTACAAGTCCACTGCTCTTAACCCACTACACCACACATCATGAGAAAGCTCTTTCAACATTATGGGTTGAGTGCAGGGAAATGTAACTTCCCAGGAACAGGACCATTAGCAGTAGGCACTGTTATCAGATTTGCATTCCTTGTGCAGAAACAATGCACAGAGGAAGGAAAATGCCAATCCCCTAAGGGAAAAGCCTAGATTCTAGCATGTGAAGTTGAAGTAATTTATGCTTAGATTTATATAATCGATAATCTACAGTAAGATGCTTCAACAAAGAAGAGAATAAATCAGAGAAGTCAACAAAAGAGTCATTAAAATGTAAGAGATTTATTAAGGTCTTATGGGGTTGGTGTGAAAAAGCTCATTTGAAAGCATTAAGTTAGGGAGCTGCAATACGTGTGTATAGGAACTCCGGATCTGAGGGGCATCCCATAGAATCTCGACTAATATAGTGCCTCTTTGTAGCATACTATGCAATCCATTATTATTATTTGGGTTGCAATTTGTGTGCACAGCTAAGATGCATCAATAGGATTTAAGTGTTTCGTGTACAGGACTGCAACCATGGTTCTAGTTCATCCTAAATATATAGGTATTCTGTTGTTATTCATTTATAATCTGGAAAATGTATTTTTCTTTGGTAGTTTGATTGCATCTTCAAATTCTGTTAACTTCCTGGATAGAAACGTATCCCCCCCCCCCTTTGCATAGGTGAAACATTTCTGATCCGCAAAATAATGGTAAAATGGGAATCTAACCTTCACTAAATGTTTTGTGCCTATGATTTCACTCTATTGGTCTTTTTCTAGGCCTTATACCCTGTAGGGATCAGATGGGATTACCATGAGGAATTATAAAATATACATCAAGCCATCGTGTCCACGATGAAGACATTGTGTTGACTGGGTTTGATATATTGACGATAATTTCTGATTAAATCCCATAAGATTCTACATTCATGCCCTTTCCATGCCCTTTTGCCTCTACTGTCCATTTCTCCTTGCCTGAAGTCACGTACACAGCAGTTGCTTCGCCCGGCAGGCATCCTGGGCCATAAAGATAGTGAGCAAGCTTATTTGAAGTAGCTCTCTAATGTATATTAATCTTAGGATGTTAATCTTGGAGCCAGGAAACATATCTCACATGAAGGTGGTAGTGATCTGGTCTTTCTGGCAGTGGCGTAGCGTGGGTTGTCACCTGGGGCAAGGCAAGTAATTTGCGCCCCCTAACCCATGGATTTGCGCCCCCTAACCCTAACCCCCAGATGTTGCGCCCGGTGCGGCCGGCCCCCCCTGCACCCCCCACGCTACACCACTGCTTTCTGGCCATCCTTCTTATCATGTTTATTTCTCAGCTCTAGGGTTGCCAGATGCACCCCTTTGTAGTTCTCAACATATTTACCCCAAAATATGTGCATGCTAATTAGTGTTGTAGTGTAACTTTTCCCCCACGTGGGGTTTGATGAAATGCTCAGAGGAAATATGATTGGTTCTTACGAGCCCTGTGTAAAAGATTCTTTTGCTAATAAAATGGCCTGGCGAGGGGTGTGGTTTGCGCACTTTTCTCCGAGAGCCTTGCTGGTCAAAGCCTCATGTCTTGGTTTTTAATCAGGGTCCAATCCTTCCTTTACTTTGCAAACGCAACATACCCTTTCTAGGCATGGAAATTTCCTGACTGCATTATGTGATGGAAACTTTTCTAAAGCCTTCTGCCAGCTAGCACATCTATGGAGATTGGAAATACCATGAGGAATGTGCTTACACTGATATTTTAAGCACCTATTGGATAGTGCCAGAAACATCACAAATGACAAGCCATCATTTTGTTGATACTTTAAAAGTTTTCAAGGATTTGTACATTTATTTGTACATTTATAAAGTGATGCTGCTTTTCATAAGCAATGCAGTGCTCATAAAACGTTTAAAACAAAACAAATCAAGGAAAAGTTCTTCCATAGCACTGTATATGAATGGTAGTACTTTGACGAGTGCTAGAGTTCTTACAGTTCTTACTTACTTTTTCCAAAAATGCTTAAATTCCAGTTGAAAATGTTAACATGCTATCAAACAACCCCAATTCTCTCCTCCCTCCTAAGTGCAATATACATATGGTGAGCTAGCATATCTCCCTCACTTAAACAGTTCGGATGGCCTCAAATTACCTCTAGGTATGGCATTACTTTGTTAAGATAAATGTGGCAATTATAGAAAACAATTTCAGTTTTAAGTACACATAACATTTCAGATTATTACTTTGTTTCCTCTGGGGACTGCTTTACAAAAATTTTACATTCTTTTGGCTTGTTTTCATAAATTTCAAAATACTGTAGCATCACATACCGTAGCACCAGGATATGGAGATACACTCAAAGAACACAAGAAACAAGAGACTCATTCCACTTGCAGAATAATAGTCAAAAAGCTTGAACACATATAGTCCACCCTGCAATATATAAAATGTGTTAAGTTCATCACACTTCTGAGATTTCCTTTCCTGTTTTGTTTAACCTTTATATCAGCTTTACTTTCCTATTTCAGTTCTGTTTTTATTACTTGGAAAGATTCTCTAGGTTTATAAGTATTCATTGATCACTTCCCCTGGCTAACTGTGACCTTTGGACCACACAACTGAAAATAATCAGTGAATTGCCCAACTCTGTATCAGTATCAATAAATTTGGTGTGTAATATTTTTATTTTGTAAACTGCCCTGTGATCCACAGATGAAGGGTGGTATAGGGATAATTCCATATTTCTTGATAAGAGTAAATAGTTGAGCTAGAGGTTCTGTCACATGGAAGATGTTCTCCAGTTCCAGAGGGAAGAACCTGAACCAGTGGAGTCGAGTTACAAGAAAGGAGATTCCAACTCAGCATCAGGAAGAACTTTCTGATAGTAAGAGCTGTTTGACAGTGGAATGAACTCCCTTGTAAGGTGGTGGACTCTCCTTCCTTGGAGGTTTTTAAGCAGAGGTTGGGTAACCATCTCTCAGGGATGCTTTAATTGAGATTCCTGCATTGCAGGGGGTTGGGTTAGTTGCAATTCTACAATTCTGCAATTCAAAGCAGACACACAATTGGATAGGGAAGGAATAATAAATACGTCGATGTCTTGCTCTTGTACAAAGAAAGGTTCCTTAAATATACCATTTGTGTATTGGTTTTAAATGTTGCCATGGCTTTTGGCATTACTTACATTCCATACTACATCAAATATTGTTCCTGAATGCAGCAATGTCATTGGCTGATGATAACCAAGCCTTTATGTGTTTTTTTCTATCCAAGGGTTTCTAAGAGTTGCCAAAACAGATGGAATCCTCAGTGGTTGTAAATCAATTTAATAGAACAAGCTGAAGATTTTAAGAGTAGCATTAAGCCTGACAACATGCCAGTAAATATAGGTATTATATATGCATTATACTAATCTCAAATCCTTAGAGGATATTGACATTTGAAGGTTTAGGAAAAGCTGAATCTCTCCTGTCTCCCCACCTTCTTAAATTAATAGGCAATCCACAGAGGACTCTTACTTCATAATTCTGTTTAGTAGAAAATGCGACCACAGCAAATTAGAGATAAGAAGTTCCCAATATAGTATTTACCTGAGTAATATTCGACAGTCCTATCAGATAGGAAACGACACACACACAAGCAATAAAGATTTCTCTCCGACTGCGTAACAGTCTTGGAAATTCATCCACTAGTGCTGTTATGAATCCTTCAACAGTACAGAACTGAAAGTGGAATGAGAGGTTACACACAAACCAAACTAGCAACATTAGATTTGAGCTAAAGCAACATCCAGCTTTATCCTATCTCTTCTCCAATTTCTCTTCTCCCAAACTATTCTGTTGTGATGCAGATCAATAGTCAAGATACATCTGGAACAGGGCAAACTGATATGCCCAGTTCTGATATAATTTGATCAGACTAATGTTGACTCATTTCATGAGTTGTGGTGCAGCTTCTGCAATCATGTTAAAGCACAGGTGGGTTATTTATAGGGCAACATTTCTGAACCTATTAAAATATACTGGAAATTAAAAATAGGAAACTCGTGCTTTTTAAAATCTGGCATAATGTGGGACAGGTTGTCTGGACTAATCATAATTAAGCTAACTTGATCCTGCTGAGACTCTAGACCTCAGTTTAGAAACATAATAGATAGTCAAACTGACTTAGATCCCTTTGTGCATTTTGATGCACATGCAGAGCTCCTGTACATGCTTAAAGTGATATATAAGTTTCTTCTTAAGGCCATAGTAAACATTTTTTTTTCAGTAAGCAAATATTACTTTTGCTGCCCTGCCAAAAGAACTACTAAGCACATGACATTCTCCCCTCAAGCTATGAGTGTGTACATTTCTGACAGCCACTGGGAAGTGTGTTAAGACACAATGGTAAATGTTTTAACATACTATACATTGACTAAGGATAATATGAGACAAGGAGCCATTTTTGGTGGTATCTGTGTTGTGACAGTAGAGTGGAACTATTTCATATTATACTACAGATTAAGAAGCTGAAGAAGTTAAAGAAAAATAAAATAAGAAAGCCCGAAAGCTCTTACACACAGGCCTGGTTTTTTTTTGGTGTGGGGGGAATATTAGGCTACTTTTTATATTTCAGTAGCCTAAAGCTAAACTTAGTTAAGGATATGTTTGACTCAATTAAATTAACAGCAGTTTCTTCAAAATGAATTATTAATTTTGCTGATTTTCTTTTATAAAAGAACTTTAGGCTTCATGAATAAGGACTCTTCATTATTTCCATCCCATTATGAAATAGCTATTGCTGTTGCTAATGTACTGTGTATGTACTTTCACCAAAAGTTAAAGTAAGGTGCACTATGAAAAATAAGGTTTGTTGACATGTATGTACATACATTCCACTGTGTTTGTTTACACAGGTGGCACTGTGGGTTAAACCACAGAGCCTAGGGCTTGCTGATCAGAAGGTCAGTGGTTCGAATCCCTGTGACGGGGTGAATTCCCGTTGCTCAGTCCCTGCTCCTGCCAACCTAGCAGTTCGAAAGCACGTCAAAGTGCAAGTAGATAAATAGGTACCGCTCCAGCGGGAAGGTAAACAGCGTTTCCGTGCGCTGCTCTGGTTCGCCAGAAGCGGCTTAGTCATGCTGGCCACATGACCCGGAAGCCGTACGCCGGCTCCCTCGGCCAGTAAAGCGAGATGAGCTCCACAACCCCAGAGTCGGTCATGACTGGACCTAATGGTCAGGGGTCCCTTTACCTTTACCTTGTTTGGTGAATTAGTGAGTAAAGGGGATTTACAGTTCTATATTTTATATTCTGCCTCAGTGATGCAGGTTAGCTCTAAGGCCACCCATTGAATTTCATGGCTGAACTGTCCGTTAAATGAAATCGGGCCTCCCCCATTCAAAATGCAACAGCTCCGGCTTCATTGGTTCAATGCTAATAAAGGTCTTCATGTCAGCCTTGTGTAAACAAAATGGCACTCTAAATTATTTTAATACTCTATAAAAGCATGGAAATCTTGTTTGTTGGGAGCTGTAGCAATAGGGTACAGGGGCTCCATTTTGTGAATTGCCCAGGCAGAAGTAAAGTGGTCTGTCACTGGCGCTGGCACATGGACATCCTGACAACACGCTGGCATCCCCTCCAAAAGCTTATTCCAGAGTGAACTGGAGAAGTGGAAACACTTGGTCGTGGACCCGAAGATGGTAGTCGAGCTTCCACTAGTATAGAAGCTGCCTTGTCAATAATAGCCTGGCTTGAGGGAACGTCCATGTAATGGGCCCAGTACCTGAACTACTAATAGGGAGGAGTGAGGACTCTGTAGACCAATGCTGATGATGTGGTGAGTACCTTCCCTTCTTGCATAGGACATTGGGGGAGAGAACCCAGGGCACTCAAGGGATGTAGCCAAACCAGGAATGTGTCCTCTGAGGAAACAGTAAATGGGGGACATGGGGGTCAAACCTTCACAATGTTGGGCAAGATCAATATCCTGAAAGTAGTCAGAGTGAGGAAATTTATGCTGCTATAAAGGCATCATCTCATGAGACAGGAATAACTGGCTGCTTAGTTTAAGAAAATAGGCACAATTGTTTGGGGGGCTAAATTGTACTGAAAGTGAGTTGTACACACACACAAACAAACTCACAAATTCACAAAAGTTAGAATTAAACATTATAGGAAAATGTTTTACGAGGTATTTTTAATGCATAGTTTAGCATGCTTCTGCCAATTCTCCTTTGACACAAGGAGTGGAGAACCTTCAGTCCTGCTCTCAGTGACTGAGAAAAAGATCAGCAAAGGCTGCTTCTTTCATGAACCAAGGGCACTTATAGGGACCAAGACAATGGGGAGGCTCACTTTATGGGATTCCATATTCTAAGCCACAGTGCACAGATATTTTAAAGAAAAAATTAATTGGCTGCGGTGTCCCATCTCTGCTAAGCTTTCTCCAAAGAAACTTCTTTGATGTAATGCTTTTGAAACCAGGCAAACTTTTTAAAAATTCTAGGTATATTATTTAACATTTTGCTTATTTAAATACTTGTTAAAGTTCTGCAAACTACTGTTTTATTAGGTGGGTTCTTTTGTATTGTTTTATTGTCTGTAAACTACCCTAGAATCACCGGACCAAAGGTGGCATACAAATTTAAATAGCCACCCATGATAGAAACTGTTCACTAGTGTTAATGGCCCAGTTCAGCCATAGACCTCATTCTGACATAATGAGCCTTGGACCTGTGTGCTCTCCTCCCTTTTCTCCTCTGCATCTACAACCCGGAGATCAGAAGTCTTTACTTCCTGTTTAAACTAACTTGTTCAGTATTATGACTGAAACTCAAGAAATGGGCTGGTCTTAATTATTATTATTATTATTATTTTTAAGATAAACAAGCCAGCTTTGAACTGTGGTTCATGAAGTTGGCTAGTATCAGTGAAGACTGATACAGAGATACAGCTAGCATTGATAGAAACATATAATGAACTGTTGGACATTTGTCTTCAGTAATAGCATTTTAAAAAACGACAATAACACTTCGTTTTACCTGACTGTCAATTCCAAGCATAAGCAACATGGAGAAGAACAGTATTGCCCACAAAGGTGAGACAGGAAGTTGTGTTACTGCTTCTGGATAGGCTAAAAATGCAAGCCCAGGACCTGGTAAGGGGGAAAATGTATTTATTGTCACTTACCATTAATGCAATATCTAGCAGCTCAATTTATTAATTATAAACTAATTTAGTCATTTTACTACTAATATCTCATTTCATACTACTGCATAATAACAAAGCTGGAAAAACTGAGACAGATACGAAATTGAGCTTAGAAAGTGTAGGTTTAAATATGCACATGAATATATATCTATGGATATAGAAACAACTATGTTTTTGTGAAAAACAATTACAATATATTTTTCTATATACACAATATATAAAGCTTCTGCACTCTTAAAGCATTATGAAGTTATCTCGTATAAACATATGAAGCTGCTATGTTGTATTTCCAACAAGTAACTGTACTGATAGTTACTTGTTTATGCATGTCTACATTGATTCTTGAACCCTTGGTGTGAGGTGTGTTGGTCACTAGGCTTGCAGACACTTCTCAGATTACTTTGAGGTACAGTGGTGCCCCGCAAGACGAATGCCTCACAAGACGAAAAACTCGCTAGACGAAAGGGTTTTCCGTTTTTTGAGTCGTTCCGCAAGATGAATTTCCCTATGGGCTTGCTTCGCAAGACGAAACGTCTTGCGAGTTCTTGCGAGTTTGTTTCCTTTTTCTTAAAGCCGCTAAGCCGTTAATAGCCGCTAAGCCGCTAATAGCTGTGCTTTGCAAGACGAAAAAACCGCAAGACGAAGAGACTCGTGGAACGGATTAATTTCGTCTTGCGATGCACCACTGTAATGGCTACTGATCTCACAAGCGCATTAGTGCCTCGTTTATGAAAGTGAATGCCGCTCTATTTTCCTAGACAACCATTAGGACTAATGACCTTTTGGGGAGTGTTCTCTCAAGTGCAGATTCCCCAATTATAGTGTAACTTGTCTTCCCTGCTATCTTCTGAAACAATAAGACACTGCAAACTGTTAAGATGTTGCACACCTGATTTTGCAACTTCTTCAATAGGACGTTTGGTGACATGAGCCATGAATCCAACAATGGAGAAGATAACAAAACCAGCAAACATGCTTGTGCAAGAATTTATGCAGCACACTATGATGGAATCCCTGAAAAGAGAGACAGAGAGAGAAGAGGGTAGGAATACTGTCCAAAGTCAGGATTTCAAGCAACATTCCTGTTGACAGGGCAAATTGTTTAAGGCTTATGATACTGGATTATAACTCTGTATATGTAGGATTAACTTTTTTAATACAAAAATTATCAGTGCACTAGTTTTCTTCATTTGATAAAGAAGCCTTTCATTGGTCTGTCTTATTAAGCACTGTGTCTGTTTTGCAGGGGAAAGTACTAATTCACATTACACTGATATGAGATGGCTGAATGATTTTTGCTCAGGAATATTGGGACATGCAAAGGTAGCCTTACTGCCCTAGCCATCCCAGTCCCCAAGAGCCTGCAAAGAGGGGAAGTTTGATACTCTGACATTAAAAGTGGGGCTCTGCACCAATATGTTGCAGCGCCTAACAAAAGTGCTCCTGTTCAGAGTTTGAGCAATTCTTACAGGGCTGTTCAGGATTGACAGAAAGAAGGGAAGATGTCAGGATGGGGGGGGGGGGAGGAAAAGAGATACTTTAAATCTATCTTATTCACCTGAAATCTCTCCCTGCTATTCTATATAATGCTAAAAGTTGCCAGATCCATCTGCATTGCTTTATTGTTACATAGTTTAGTCATCCTCTCATATAAATGCTGAGAGTTGGAAGCAGATCAATTTAGGGTCTCCATAAGATATTTCTTCATATTCCTCTCTAACCCCAAATGAAGCATAGGTCTTGGTGGAAGCCACACTGAATGCAGGTCCTTGCTGAGAACCATTTTTAAAAAGGTAGAAACCACTACTAGTACTTTTGTGTGGCTCCATTTTGCTGCCAAAACAGATAGGGGCCAAAACATCCAAATGAAGTATTAGAAGGAATGATGTTGCCCACTTTGCATCTCATGAGCTGTTCCTCCAGTATGGGAGGAATCTGGAAACACCATGTGCTCTGTGTGCAGTAGGAGAGAATTGTTCCCTTTCAGCTTCTGAGGGATTATGTTTGTGCCCTGTGAATTGTATCAAATATTCCCTATCTGAGGCATCTAGGAATCTAGGCTACTAAAGAATGGTAACTGCTTTACCTGTAAACATTGTTGTTGAAAGGGTTGTAACTTCCAAGAGCAATCAATGAGCCAAGACCCAGACCATAGGAGAAAAAGATCTGTGTGGCAGCATCCAGCCATACCTAGTCATAAAGGACAAAGACAGGTGCACATGGCTATGATTGGTAGTTTATATATAGTTACAAACAGGTGATAATAATGAGCGTGCAATGACAATATGAGCAATACTACTACAAATGGCCCAGAAATCAGTACAAGGGCTCCTGCTAGTGCAACATGCCTGGTGGGACAGGCTCTGGTGGGACAGGAGAAATCCCAGAACACCACATGGAGGGGAAAGCAGAGGGGGTTTGATTTAATCTGGAATGCAAAAACACTTGCTCCAACAGAATGATCAGAAGAGTGCATCACTTGAACTCCTCCCCATAGGATTATTAGGTTACCAGGCCTGAATGCTTACCTCAGAGTCGGAGAGCTTCTCAAACTTAGGAGTGACATAGAATAAAATGCCTTCTCTTGCTCCAGGTAATGTTACTCCACGGAAGAACAAGATAATCAACATGATGTATGGATATGTGGCAGAGAAGTACACTACCTGAAACAAAGAATGGGGTGTGTAGTGTTAGAAGCAATGAGTTTAACACTGAGGTTTAAGAAATACAGGGGAAATAAATGTGGTGATGCTGTACACATCTGAATCACATCTGAGTTCAGGCCTAGGGACCAAGTGCCGTCCTTCAGACTTTCATACTAGGCCCTCATGACTCTTCCTAGGCCACACACCCCATGCCAGCCACTCCTCTTGTAAGCCCTGCTTTGCACCCTCCTTGAGTGTTTTTGCCTGGCTGCAATACTTACTGCTTGCCTGGATGGAGGACAGAGGAGGTGTGCCACAGTGTGTGTAGAAACTAGCTTACTGAGAGAAGGTAAAATTCATATTAGTTGCTCTGCCTACTTTTGCCTCCGGCCTCACCCATGTTAGCATGTGGCCACCCCCCAAAAAGGTTACTAAGAAAGAAATGTGGCCCTCAAACTGAAAAAGTTTCCACTGCCCCCTGTCTGAGACAGATGCAACAGTACTCTGCTCTTTCTTCTTGCATGTTAAGCACAGGGCTACAGAATCCCCTCCTTGCTAGACATGCCCATGCTTGGTTTTCTTGTACGGACTGCCGCCCTCCACCTTTCATAGTTAAGTCTGCTCTTACTTACTTTTCCCGCTACAGCAGTACCTATTTATCTACTTGCACCAGCGTGCTTTCGAACTGCTAGGTTGGCGGGAAGGTAAACAGTGTTTCCGTGTGCTCTGGCTTATGTCATGGTGTTCCGTTGCACCAGAAGTGTTTTAGTCATGCTGGCCACATGACCCAGAAAGCTGTCTGTGGACAAAATCTGGCTCCCTCGGCCTGAAAGCGACATGAGCGCTGCAACCCTATAGTCACCTTTGACTGGGCTTAACCGTCCAGGGGTCCTTTACCTTTAATGACTACTCACTTTTAAAAACTTAAAAGTTCAATTTGTACAGTAATGGAATATATATATGCATGCTTGAAATACAATTTACAGCAGAAAACAATAATCTTATGGCGCCTTTAAAGCTTGCATGTTTTATCCAAGTTTATGAAAGTTTGTGCCATAATAAAATTTGTTAATATTTATGGTGTTGGAAGAGTCTTTATGTTTTTTGCTGCAACAGACTAGCACCACTATCCCTCTAGTAATTTACAGGGGTATCCAAAGAGTTTTAAAAAGAGCATTAACATTCATATCTCATGGAAGGATGTATCAGCAAGACTAGTCTATTTAGAAGCTTTAGAATTCCATGCTGACTCTGATTACAATGTACAGGCTTTTAGAACATATTCTTACCTTTCCTGTCCAGCCTACCCCCTTCCAGATGCAGAAATACACTAAAATCCAGGCAATTGCTAGAGTAATTGCTAATGGCCAACGGATCTGGCCTGGTTTTTCCAATCCATCTGTCATTTGGTGCATGTTACGTCTAAAATCAAAGAGGAAATGTATAAATTTCTTGAACTTAGCTGACCTTATACATCTAGTAAGAAATTAACTGAACATATTCATTGGAATGAGGAAAAGATTTTTCTCAACTTACTCCCAGAATTCCAAAACAGCACTTGTCATGTTGGTGGTATTTGCTATACTATAATTTGAGAAACAGTGGTCTGTGTTCCAGGGGTTGTTACAGTGTCTCCATGGAAGATTCTAATTAAAAAGGCAAGGATAAAGAATAGGGAGAGAAGAATAAAAACATCAGTGTTTTTAAAGTCATCTTAAGAGCTAACAGCTAGTATACCATGCTTGCTTAGAAATGATAGCCAATGTTAAAACTAAGCTGGTTCCAATTTTTCAGGGCATTAAGCTTCCACAGGGTTCATGCCTGTCAAGAATTATATTCTGTTGCAACTTTTGTCTCTTAAATGTTCTTGACTTACATTATTATATATGCATACTTCTGAAGACACACAGTACATTATTGGACATGAAGAGTGGCACTGATCTAATCTTTTTCCAGCATTTCTGATTTACTCTTCACAATTAGGAAGAACTAAACATGCTTTCTTTTTCTTTTTTAAAACTGAAACAAAAATTTAACTTGAGGTGAGTGTTTCTTTTCCTACTAGCCTTTTCTCTCAGACCCATTTTGTACGTTATTCTGGTGGAGGCTGCCAAAAAGAGCTCTGCCACTTTATGGGTCCATTAGGAATGTGTTGGTTGTGAATTCCTAGGCAAGCACATCCTGAAGCAATCAGATTGCATGTCTCTGTAGGAATTCTGCACCACAACCAATTTGTGTGAGGTTGATTGAGGCCTGACTTATAACAGCAGGTGCTAGCCTGCTAGCCACCTGGAGCCTCTAGAAAGCACAACTCACACCACTTGCATTGAAGATGGGGGTCAGAAAAGCCCCTTGGGCTGACAGGATGTGTTAAAGCCAGCACTTGAGGCACTTTTTATTGTAAAAATATTAAATCTGTGCAGGGGGAAATGCACACAGATACTGGATAGAATACATGTATTGGTGAACACATGCAAAAGATAAATTAAGAAGACCGACACATCCATTCCTGCTGCCCATGCAGCTGGGCTATGGCTGTACTGGACTTATGCAGCTGTTTTAAAACATGGGTTGTGTGAAATCTAAATGGAACCCCAGCCAGCCATCTGGCTGCTGCATTTTTGGACCAATTGAAGTTTCAAAGCCATCTTCAAAGGCAGTCGCATATAGAGTTCCTTGTCATAATCCAGTTTGAAAATTACCAGAACCTGGAATATCATAGACAAATCATCTCTGTCCAAAAGGAGCTGCAGCTTGTGGTCCAGCCAGAGCTGGAAAAAGGGACGCCTAGCCTCTTAGGCCAGTTGAGCCTCCATTGACAAGCAGAATCCAGAAGAACCCTTAAACTGTGGACCTGCTCCTTCCATGGAAGTGCAACCCATCCAGAACAGGCTGTCCTTCCCAGCTCCTGGATGTGAGAACTCAGGATGCATAACAGCTCTGTATTTTCTGAATTCAGCTTCAGTTTATTGGCTCACATCCAGTCCGTCACTGTCTCCAAGCACAGGTTTAACATCTCAACTGTCTCTCCTGATTCAGTTGGAACAAATAGATAGTGCTGGGTGTCATCTACACATTAAGGACACTTCACTCCAAATCTCCTGATGACAACTCCCAGAGACTTCATGTAGACATTAAATAACATGGGAGACAAGATGGGACCCTGTGGGAAACCGCAGAAAACTTCCATGACACCAAATAGTAGCCTCTCATAATGACTTTCTGGAAACGGTCCTGGAGGTAGAAGTGGAACCACTGAAGTACAGTGCCCCCAACCTCCCTGAGATGCTCCAGAGTGATACTGTGGCCAACAGTATCAAAAGCTGCTAAAAGATTGAGAATTAGCAGGGTCACACACCCTCTATCTTTCTCTCCAAAAATGTGATCAACTAAGGCAACCGAGGCAGTTATAGTGCCATGGTCAGGCCTGAGGCCAGACTGGAATGGATCCAAGGAATCGGTTTCCTCCTAGCATCCCTGAAGTTGGACCACCACTACCTTCTTAAGCATATCAAGGGTATGGTCCCTGGGTGCAGGGAGGTCTTCTTAAGGAGGGAACCAACCAATGCCTCTTTCAGTAAAGCATTAATCACTCCCTAGGCCCACCTAATTAACCTTCTATGGCTCACTCTAAGAAGATAAGATGTGCAAGAGTCAAGGGGGCAGTTCTTCAAGAAGCTTGTCCAGATTAAGCAAAAACACACACACAAACACACAACACCATTCACCACTTGAAAAAACTCTTTTGGGTGACTACTTGCAGATGTGATGGTAGTGGAGAAGTAAGCTTTCTTTGCCACCATCATTCAGTAGGCAGGGTGGTGTGGTTGGTTATACGTGAACATGCCCTAAAGTTTTGAATTAGCTGTATTCCACCTCAAGGTTGATGTGAGAGACAGTAAAGAAATAGTTAAAAATAAATATATGGACCTGTGGAATAGAGGAAGGCCATTGCTATATGAACTTCTGGCTGCCTCTGGAAATTAAAGCTATATATTACGCCAGAATGTTGCCATGGTGTGTTTTATGGACCAAAACATTATAATACCTCTTGGAATAATAGAATCTCAAAATGCTATGGGTGGAACTTTTAGTGGTCAAGGAATCAGCATGACTTCCTAGCAACGCTATTAGGTCCTAATCTATGTCCATACACAACTGTTGTTCTCCAGTTTTCAGGTTCACCCAATTTAAATCATTTCCCTATGCAACAGAAAGGAGAAGCTGAAATGATTTATCCATTAGGTAAGTAAAGTAACTTGTGAAGAAGTTGGTGAGGGATTGATGAGAGGAGTGAGCAGGGCGGCAAAACTCCCCTATGTAAATAAATAAAATGATTTATTATTATTATTATTATTATTATTATTATTATTATTATTATTATTATTTTAAAGTAGGTCAGCTAATCAAACTGAGCTGTAATGAGGGTTTTTTAAACATGAGAAAGATCACTTACTGTGGTGAAAGAGTTGTATAAGTAATATATGGCCCAGGAAATAATCACAATGTAGTAAATATTAAGCCAGAAGGACAGGACAGCAGCAGCTAATCCCACACCTATAGGGAGAAAAGTATATCAGAGCATTTTAGGACTCATATTCTTAGCAGTAGAGTTTCAGAACATAACAATAAGAAGTACATTTGGAGAGATGTAAACCTAAATAAGACAAAATTGCTATGTGATTTTGCGCACTTATACTAAGAAGAAAACAGTTATGAGAAAGTAGTGGTTACGTGAACTGCAGTTTGAGGTACCAGTCTTTTTAATGAGGGTTGAAGAGTAGCACAAAAAAAACCCTACACTTTCAGTTTATGTTTCTACAAAGTCAGATAGCCCTTTTGCTATGGGCAGGGAGCAACCATGTGAAGGGGGAAAGAGATATCACAAGAAGTATGGCTATGTGCACTACAAGTAAGCAAATTAGGGTTGTTGGGCAAAGGAAAGAGAGTGCATCTTTAGAAAGCAGTGTTCTGTTGCCAAATGAAATAAGGGTTCTGAATGTCTAGCCAGCCTACAGCTGGAAAACAATATACTGAGAAATTGAGACTGAGGATAATACATTGCAACAGTGGCCATAGTCAAGAGATGTGTATGGAAAGAAAAATAGGATAAAGGGTGGAGATGCCTGGGATTAAATTGCAGAACTACCTGGTTATTCGGTCTCTTTTTCTCATATAGACAGAGTTTACACTGGCTTGTTGTAAAAGTGCAATTTCAGAGTTATGTAAACATCATTTTATTATTTCTTTTGCAATAAATATTTATTGGTTTGGTGCATCTTTTAATATACTTAAATAACTTTGAATTCTTAGTCCAGAAAAAGTGGGCCAGTATTAAATTGATCAAAGAATGACCTGAATGTTAACACCTACTATGGTATTAATAGCATTGTATTTAACTCAGCACTGTACCTTTGAACATTGGAGCAAGCTTCCAAACTCCAAGACCTCCTATGGATGTGTATTGCCCAAGCGAACATTCCAAAAGAAACAGGGGAACTCCAGCAAAAATTAAAGTAAGGAAATATGGAATCAGGAATGCTCCTGAAAGGATACAAAAAATGAGCAATTATACTGAAAACCAACATATGTACCATTAAGCAAGAATTCAACATTCATTTTTTCCTTTAAATGCAGCAGAAAGCAAATGAACACTATATGTGACCTAGTTGCTCTAGGTCTCCTCTGATACTATTGCCCTAATCGTATGCATGGTTAGGGATATGCTTTGCTGTTTTGCAGCGTGAGCTGAGTCACATGTTACAAAGAATGTTTGCAGATGAGTTTCTGCCTCTTTTTATTTTTATAGGAGCAGACAGTCTTTACCAGCAGTTAATACCACCAGGAGGGTCTTGCTTTGTCTCACAGCAAGAATGAGCTACTCTTGCTACTGAGCACCCTGACATAACCTCGACCTGGCTGCAGAACCTGGCTTTTTGGTGCCATACTTAGTCTGGAAGAGACTGCTTTCCTGATAAAGGCAAAAGCAGATGTTCTCATAGTACACAAGGCATATCCTTTTCCTAAAACCTAGCTGCTGTGGCTGCCGCCAAATATAATAGAATATCATGGTGGCACTCTGAATGGGACGAGGCAAAGAATCAGCAGAGCAGCCCTGTGAGCCTCTTCGCTCTCCTCCAAATGGATAATAGGGAAAGTGTTCTGCTGCCTTCCAAACCAACCAGATGGGAACTCAAAATACATCGATTGTCATCCTTCACTGAAGTGATCACCTATCATGGCCAAGGAATCCAGTGTGCAAGTAGTAAAATCTGTTTAGCGTGCCTTTCCAAAAAGCATTATCATGCAGTTTGAAAGACCTGTGTTAAGAACTTCAGCCTGCTCTCCCTTCTCTGCTGCTGGTCTTGTAAGATTAACAGGAAGTAGTGGATTCTGATAAAAAATATTTAGCACTTAATTACATAAACTGAAATAAGTACCTCCTCCATTTTTTCCACAAAGGTATGGAAACCGCCAAACATTTCCTAAGCCAATCGCATAGCCAACACAGGACATAAGAAAGTCAAATTTCCCCTTCCAGGTGTCTCTGTCTGGAATATCTCCTTTTTTCTTCTGCACCTTGACCACCAGTGTCTTAGGCTTGTCATTGGTGATCGAGGCATCACTGAGTTCTGTGGAGATTTGTCCGTCAGCTACTTTTGTTCCATTTGTTGCCATGTCTCTAGGTTTAGATGGAGAGGCTCTCGCAGCTGGACGAGAAATGTCAGCACCAGTCCACGTGGACAGCAGCTTTGCGGCTGTTGACTACCCAACCAAAGCTTGATGGGGTTGTTAAAATATCAGTGGAGGTGATGCTTGAGTGTGTTAAAATCCAAACAGGTATCTTGTAATAGGTGTCCGTATTGATCTGCAAAACAAGACCAGGAGCCTTTTTAAATTGGGCCTTACACAGAAATGATCACAGTTAAATTCAAATCTTTTCAGTAACTTGAATGTATTTTCAGATTGTGCCCTTGGATCACAACCAGCCATGAAAGTATACTTTTTATCTAAATATAGGAGTCCTTCTTGGAATGAGTGGCAGTTTAACTCATGACATTTGTCAACACCCAACAATTCACAAAACAAATGATGCACGGATAAATGCACAACACTATGTTTTTCAAAATTACACTCAGGGTTTTTTTTAAAGTTATTAAGAAAAAACACATGAGGAAGTAGCAATCATAAAATGAAGATGAAAGGCAGAAGCCTTGTGGGTGAGGGGCTCCCAGGTTCAGGAAATAGACCAGTTGCCTGTTCTTAATGGGGTTACTCCCTTCCTGAAGGAGCATGTACATAGCTTGGGAGGTAGACGTATCCTCAGTGGTAAGGAATGCTTCCTTCCAGCATTGGCTGTTTCTGGGCAGGGAGAGTTTGGCCATAGTGTTGCAGGCCTTAGTAACCTCTAGATGAGACTACTGTTGTGTGCTCGACATGGACCTACCCTTGAGGCTGGTTCAGAAATTACAGATGCTGCTGAATGCTGCACCCTGGAACAGCTCTGCATCAGCATATTACTGGAAACTGCAATGGCTAAGCTCAAGGTATTATTATTTGTGTTTAAAGGAACAGGTTACCTGAAAGACTGCCTTATACACCAGCCAGATCACTGTGATCATCTAGAGAAGCCACATATTCCTTTATCTTCTACTTGGTTTCAGCGTAGTGGCACTGATCTTATTGAAATTAGATGGACACCTACAATTCTGATGTTTTGTCATCTGTTGAAAACATTTTAATTTCTCAAATGTTTTAGATAATTAATTCTGTTTATTGTTAGTCATTTGGTTCTAGTTATTATTTTATCAATAGTGGTTGTACTTTTTTGGTGCCCACCACCACCATCACAATAGCTTTCTTATGAATTAGGTGGTTTAACCATATAAACAAAAAATCAATCAAATACTTGATAAATCAAATAAATAAACAATAAAACCTTTAATCTTTTCTCAAAGGTTGGCTTTTAAAGGGTTAGCAAATCATTACACTTTATGGACTGTTTAAGGCATTTGAACATAGGAAGCTGTCTTATACTGAGTCAGAACTTTGACCGATTTAGATCAGTATTATCTACTATGAATGACAGTGGCTCAATGGGATTTAAATCGAGTCTTTCTTGGGCCTACCTGAAGATGCCAAGGACTGAGCCTGGGATCCTTTGCATGCAGAGCTTGTGCTCTGCCACTGAACTATGACTGTTCTCCTTGTGGGGTTGTGGGAACCGCTCCCTGGAAAGCTGCTCCCATACCGCTAGGACACCATTCAGGTGTTTCTCAAGTATCTGAATGCAGGGTGCAATTATTTTGCTCTGCGAATTGGTCATAATGCTATTCTTACTTGAACAACATAAGAAACAAAGGGAAACCTTCTTAGGATTCAGGTCTAACTTTGCACCTTAACTTACATGTTCCCTCGATCACTGCTGGATTTCTTTGAAGAAAAACAAACAGGCAATATGCATGCCAACAAGTATACTTGTTGTCTATTATACAAGTATGGTTACGATAATACAATATTGTTTAATGGGATTAATAATTGCTTTTGTAGTACACATTTCAGGTAAATGAACCAAGACAAGGCAGAGAGAACCATCATAATCAGAAGCTGAAATGATCACAAATGTTGTGATCATTTCAGCTAGTGGTTTATAATGATCACATTATTTTTATGATACCTTTGTCACACTGTGTACTAATGGAATCACAGAATCGTTGAGTTGGAAGGGAGCCCAAGGGTCATCTAGTCCAACCTCATACAATGCAGTAATCTCAACTAAAGCATTCCTGGCAGATAACCATCTAAGGTCTGCTTAGAAACCTCCATCAAAGGAGAGTCCTCCCAAGGTATTTTACTTTGTTGCCCTTTCAGATAACTCCCATGCAAAAAAAAACAAAAAAAAAACCAAACCACCAAATATTTATATTTTACAATGGACTGCACAGTAGCTGCCTATGCTTATAGCAATGAAACTAAAACTTTTTTAAATAGAACACGGACCCACAGGATAGTATCCAACTAAGCTCTACTCAAAGTAGACCTGTTGGACTTAATAGACTTAAGTTAGTTCTGTCCATTAATTTCAATGGGTCTACTCTGAGTGGACCAGCATTGGATGTAACCCATGCATTTCAACTTTCATTGTTTGAAAGAGCTAGAAGATAAAATGAATATTTAGTATTAAGCATATAATGAATGCAAGCTTTGGTTTAAAAAAATAGCTCAGTGAATGCCTAATGGACAATTGTTGCACTGTCAGTATGACTGATGAGGAACCCATCAGTGATAAATTATAATCCAAATATATTAGCTTTTCAATTACAGCCTTCTGGCCATTATTTCCAATCAAAATGTCAGTAATCAGAACTCTTTTCTATAAATTCTTAGCTAAACTGTTCTCCCCTTTATTCTACAGTTGCATCTCGGAGAAGCAGCATTGTATTTAGACCAATCTTTTTGAATCTGCTGGGTAAAGAACAATTTAGCGTGCCTGCACTTTGTCCACCACTGCATTCAGTCACTGGCATCCAGCATTTTTAGAAATGTGTGTACCTCCATTTGAAGTACAAGCCCCTCTGCTTGTTGTGATTATATTACACAATCAAATCCATTTTATACACAGAATCTGGTAGAGTAAGACTTTGTAAAGACAAGTCATGCATTTTACTGGGACCAGCTCAAATTTTTACGAGATTTTCATGGGTCTCTGTAGTCCTCAATGTGTTGGGCTTCCTTTGCTCATCATAATCCACACTAGATTAAATTTTCACTTTACTGTGGCGAACTTCCATTTTATTTTATTGTCTTGTAAAAATTGATATTTCTTGCCTTTATTCCATTTGATCACACAGCAGGCAAAAAAGAAAAATGGAAGGATGAGCCAATTAAGATGAAAAGGAAAAGATGAGCTGATGAAATGGAAGAATTTCTTTCTTTTTTCCTTCCAAAGAGCATCACTTGTCTTGCAGTCATCTGGGTTTGTAAACATTGCTGATTCACAAGATCAAGTTGGAATCGGTTCTTCGGGAACTGTTATATTTCCCTATGTATGCTGATGAAGTAAAGGACATGGGAAAATAACCTTCCTTAACTTTTTTGATTGTTATTGTAAATGTGAAAAAAGAGGGGTTGTTGGAAAGGGGTTATAGTACTCAGATTCCACATGAGCACCAACATTTGCCAATAGCATTACCCTATTCTCAGGGGCAATGACACATTATTTGCATTCCCAAATTCATCCTAAGGGCCTTTCTTTCAAATTTGAGTTCAGAATATTCTGTCCTGCCCCCAATTAATTTTTTTTAACCTAACAATCTAATTCAAAAAGGAGTGTAGATTTGTGTGTGCAGAATATTGAGACACCTGTAAAACATACCCACAATGAATGTGAGTTTCTTTATGGCATCACCGAATAATAGAAATGTGCCTGAAATAGCCAGTGCACAAATTTCTAGCACCACCTACTGATGAAAATTAGAAGCACAAATGAGGTGTTTCTTCTTTTTATCAGTACATTGTTATCAAGATTTCCAGTTTTGTTTTCCAGTTTAAAATAAGTGCAATGTAAGTGCAATATTTGCTCAGATCTCCCAAATCACAATTTTTAGTATGCAAAATCATATTTTTAATTGATTAGGTATGAGAATTATGCAAAAACCTTTGCATAACTTTGTCCAACTCCTTTGCATAAAGCTCTAGTTCCAGAATGGCACTATTAAGAAGAGAAGAAGAGTTTGGATTTGATATCCCGCCTTTCACTCCCTTTAAGGAGCCTCAAAGCGGCTCACATTCTCCTTTCCCTTCCTCCCCCACAACAAACACTCTGTGAGGTGAGTGGGGCTGAGAGACTTCAAAGAAGTGTGACTGGCCCAAGGTCACCCAGCAGCTGCATGTGGAGGAGTGGAGACGCGAACCCGGTTCACCAGATTCCGAGACTACCGCTCTTAACCCCTACACCACACTGGCTCAAAATCTTACCAAAATCTTTAACCAAACGAAGATGTTATTTATTGGGGCTTCCACCACAGTTCCTGTGAGTAGCACTTTGTATTCAGGATTTAGACAAAAACAGTGAAATTTTGGTTAGAGTTGTTGACATACACAACACAGGCTTTTTCAACAACTAGAAAGAACTAAAACAGGACATTTAGTATTGACTCCGCCCTATATGCAATGTTAAAATAACACTGGGCTTGCGAAATAAGCACCAGAAAGCTCTAAAAAGGAAGAATGAATGGCATACAATCCTGTCAAGGTTAGGGGCAAACTTTAATAAATAAATGTCATCACATTCATGTATTTAAGAGGCATGCACAGCCAAATAATAGATTAGCATTTATGAACTTAGCTCCATTAAAAAAAAATAAAACATCTAATATGCCCTTCTACTGCTTTATGCTGCTCTTCTAAATTGTACTATTTTCATGTTTGTTTGTTTGTTTGTTTGTTTGTTTATTTAATTATTTGAGGCACCCTGGAAACACATTTGGTAATATATGTGTTAATGTTGTTGTTTAGTCGTTTAGTTGTGTCTGACTCTTCGTGACCCCATGGAGCAGAGCACGCCAGGCACTCCTGTCTTCCACTGCCTCCCACAGTTTGGTCAAACTCATGCTTGTAGCTTCGAGAACACTGTCCAACCATCTCGTCCTCTGTCAGCCCCTTCTCCTTGTGCCCTCCATCTTTCCCAACATCAGGGTCTTTTCTAGGGAGTTTTCTCTTCTCATGAGGTGGCCAAAGTATTGGAACCTCAGCTTCAGGATCTGTCCTTCCAGTGAGCACTCAGGGCTGATTTCCTTCAGAATGGATAGGTTTGATCTTCTTGCAGTCCATGGGACTCTCAGGAGTCTCCTCCAGCACCATAATTCA